CTCTCTTTTTTTTTTTTTTTTTTTTGAGACAGAGTCTCGCTCTATTGCCCAGGCTGGAGTGCAGTGGTGCAATCTCGGCTCACTACAACCTCCGCCTCCTGGGTTCAAGTGATTCTTGTGCCTCAGGCTCCTGAATAACAGATCTCTTCTTTTTGCCCCTTCTCCTTGCACCACTTTTTTTCTTCTCCCCAGTTTCTTCCCTTCCTGATTTATGTGCCTTCATTTTCCCTATCTTATACCCTTTATCCTCAGAGGTTATAAGGGAGCCCCAAGAGACTTATAATCAAGACAACAAGATGTACACACACACACACACACACACACACACACACACACACAGCCACAGATGCGTGAATAAACATGTTGCATTAATGAGCACATGCATCTATTGAAAGGTATGTTCAAGGCCAAGTGTGTTGGCTCACACCTATAATTCCAGCACGTTGGGAGGCCTAGGTGGGCGGATCACCAGGTCAGGAGTTTGAGACCAGTTTGGCCAACATGGTGAAACGCTGTTTCTACTAAAAATACAAAAATTAGCCAGGCATGCTGGTGAGTGCCTGTAATCCCAGCTACTCAGGAGGCTGAGGCAGAGAATTGCTTAAACCTGGGAGGCGGAGGTTGCAGTGAGCCGAGATCATACCACTGCACTCTAGCCTGGGTGACAGAGCAAGGCTCTGTCTAAAAAAAAATACAAAAATAAATAAAAGTATGTTCAGACACATACACACAATTAAGGGCATCCATAGCTTGCAATGTTTTGCACTTAGTATACATCAGGTATTATTATTTGTATACATGTTTCTGAAAGATGAACAGGTGGAATGAGGAGGGAATAAGAGCTGAGCTTACAGGTTCCTTTGCACAGTAAAAGCCATATGCATGCACACCTGTACCCAGAGATGGCCTCACTCAGACATGCACACACACATATTCCTCAGAAGAATCTGGTATTTCTGGAACTGGGCTATTTCAGAAGCAGAGAGAGCACACATGTTTTTGCTGTGTTGCATGCAGTGTGCAGTGTACATCTTTGCATGTGCTTGGAGTTGTATACATGTGCTGCATCAGCCTTTGTGGAATCATGACTCAGGGCTGGGTGGAGCCCTACAGATCAATTAGGACAACCTGCTTGTGGGATTGCTTGACTATCCTGTTGGATCTGACTTTTGTAAGTACTTGAGGGATGTCAGCTTCTGCTTAATACGGATATTCTGGATAATTAAGAGGTACCAATCATGCATAGGCTGTGGACCACAAACTCTTAACATACTGGCAAATAAGCATGTGATATAGACAGCACATATCAAACCAAATTTTTTGTATCCTTAAAATTGGTGCCTAGCCTGGACAACATATGGAGACCTCATATCTGCTGGAAAAAAAAAATAAAAATAAAAAAAAAAAAAAGGTTGAGTATGGTGGTGCATGCCTGTGGGTCTACTTGGGAGACCGAGGCAGGAGAGGATCTCTTGAGCCCAGGAGTTTGAGGCTGCAGTGAGCCATGATTGCACTGCTGCACTCCAGCCCGGGTGACAGAGGGAGATCCTGTCTCAAACAAACAAACAGAAACAATTGGTGCTTAGTGTATACTGATTGTATGCACAATTATCATGTACTTGGTCATTCTTAGAAAGGATGACACCCCCCCCATCCCACTGACCCGTGTGCTGGTCCTTGTAGGTGCCACGGCTAAGGCAGGGAACAGGACATCCTTGGTCTCTGCCGTCTTCCTGCTTCCCTTCTGATAAGTACACAGGGTGTACATAGCTCCTCTTGGGTCTGTTGTGCACGTGCAGACTGAGGGGCCTGAGAGTCTGCTGGGTAGATTCATCGCAGGGTCCAGGATTCCTTTTTGCTCTTTCCAGAATGGATAGTGTGTGAGTTGTCATTACACACAACTTTTTTTGAGTTCTCTCCTCACTAGTGTGACCCCATGTGCCTTTGTATGCAAACTGCATGAGTGTTTCTTATGTTCAGTTTTGTTATGTGCCTTTGCCTTCTGTGGGTCACCAGAACCTGCTCATGGGCATCTCTTGTGTTCACACTAGCTAAGTGTATTAGGTTGGTGTGCCTGTTTTGTAGGCATGGAGGATAGGGTACTTCCTGCATTCATTTGTGTTGTGCACACATATATGGGTCCTGGGGAGGCTGCTTGGTAGGTGGCTATGGGGTAGTTCCATGTCCATTATGTTCATGCCCTGTAGGCCCATGTACCTAGTTTGTGTGCAGGCGGATTGGGCATTTCCTGTTTTTATTTGTGTTGTGAACACACAATGTGGATCCCAGGAGCCTGCTCTGTATGGGAGTATTGTCGTCCCATGTCCATTATGCACTTGCTGTATAAGACCCACACCTACTTTGTACGGACACAGGGTAGTATTCCTTGCATTTATTTGTGTTTTGCTCACACTGTGGGTCCCAGGAGGCTGCTCCATACAGGGAGCAGTAGGTAGTTCCGTGTCTATTATGCACATGCTGCACAGGTCCTGGGTACTTACTTTGTACGCCCACGGGGTAGGTGTTTTCTATATTTATTTATGTTACACATCTCCAGTGTAGGTCTCGGGAGCATTCTCCATACATGTGGGCAGTTGGTGATTCTCGTGTTTCGCTCACAGACACGAGGGTCCCGTGTGCCCACTCTACACACGGGGCAGCCTTGCTGATAACAAAGCGAAGGGCGGCTGCAGCTGCTAAGCCAAGACTGCGCAGCGAGTGCCTGCGTCCTCCTCCTCCTCCCTTTCCCTCCCTGCATTCCCCCTCCTTTTCCCTCCCTCCCAGGTCTGGGTACCACTTGTAACCCCATTCTCCTCTCTGCACCACTGTGCCCCTGCCAACAGGGGGCGGGAGCCATGCACCCTCCCAGGACCCTGCTCCCACCTTCCCCTAGTTGCAGCCTCTTCACCCTTGGCCTTCCTTTCCTTCTTCCCTGTCCCCAAGCCATAATGTGCCTGGCACAGGGGAGGTTCTCGATGACCAGGCACTGCCTCATCTGTTTCCTCCCTTCCCCTCCCTCCCCTTCTCCTCTCCTTTCTGCTATTCTTCTCTCCCCTATGTGCCTTTTCCCCCTTGATGCTTCCCTGGACCCTCTTGTCACCTTCTCACTTTCTGCTGTCACCCCAGACTGCCCCTTCCTCCTTTACCTGGGCTCGGTCTCTTTGCCCCCGTCCCCAACCTCGTCTACTGGATCTCATTCTCTATATCTGACTCTCCATTTATCTCTTCATGTCTCTGTCTCACAACTCTCTGTGGATCTCTGTCCAACAGAAAGCCTCTTTCAGTGTCTGTCTCCATCTCATTGTCTCTCTGTGTGTCTCCTGAGGTTTCTCTGTTCCTGTCACATTCTTGCAGTCTCTGTCCATGTCTCCACATTTCTGTCTCACTTTGACTCTCTGGGTCTCTGTCTTTCCTTTCTTTCTCTCACCATCTCTATATTTCTTTTAGTCTCTTTTTATGTCTTGATCTCTGTGTCTCTCTGCACATTTCTTTCTGTCTCTGTTTCTTAGGTTCTCTCTCAGAATCCCTATGTATATATCTCTGTGTTTCTGTCTACATCTACTTGTTTGACTCTATTTCTTTGACACTCTCTGTTTGCCTTTTTCTCTGTCTCAGTCTCAGTCTCTGTATCTTTTTGGTCTCTGTCAGCGTCTGTCTTTCTGGCTTTGCATCTCTCTTTTTCTGTCTCTCTTTCTCTGTCTCTTTCAATGGCTCCTTCTTAATCTCTGTTTCTGCAGGTCTATCTCTCTTACCCCTGTGTGTGTCTGCCTCTGTCTCTATGTCTTCCTGTCTCTGTATCTCTGCAACACTGCCTTGCACCTTCATCTGTCTCTCTTTGCATGTAGCTTTCTCTTTTCTCTGATTTGTGCATAGCTATCTCTCTTATTTCTGTGTCTCTCTCTTTGTGAATTAGTCTCTTTCTCTCCCCATATGTATATATTTTTCACTATCTCCCTGTATCTATGTGTCTACTTTTCTGTGGCTCTCTTTCTGACTCTGCATCTCTCTGCGTGGACCTTTCTCCCTATCTCTTTGTCCCTGGGTGTCTCTGTGGTTCTTGGTGCCCGTTTGTGTCCCCATCTGCTCACCCCTCTCACCTCTTCTCCTCTCTGTCCCTGTGTCTCTATGTTTCTGTGTGTCTCTGGACATTTCTCTGACTCTCTGAGTCTCTCTGCCTCCATGTCCCCTATACTTCCTGCCCTCTCCATTCTCCTTTTCCTCTTTGTCTCTGGGTGTCTCTTTGAGTCTCTGGCTTTTAGGGCCTCTCCCTGCCTTTGAGTTCCCTGTGCTCCCCACCCTTCTCTGTCTCTTTCTCTCTGTGTGTTCCTGTGTCTATTTGTTTCTAAGTGCCTCTATGTCTTTCTGTGTCTCTGAGCATCTCTCTGTCTCTATGAGTCTTTCTCTGCCTCTGCATCTTCTGTGCTCCCTGCCCTGTCTCTCTCTCTTTTCTCTCTGTCTCTGGGTGTCTCTGTGTCTCTGAGTATCTCTGGGTGTCTGTGTGTCTCTGGACCTCAGGGTCTCCCCCTACCTTTGTATCCCTCTTTGCTCCCTGCCCCTCTCCATTTCCCCCCTGTCTCTTACTGTGTGTTCGTGTGTCTCTGTGTCTCCAACTATCTCTGTGGGTCTCTGTGGCTCTCAAGGATTCTCCTTGTCTCGGTGTCCTCTTCTAGTCCTGCCCCTCTATGTCTGTGTCTCTGTTTCTCCGTATCTCTGCATCTCTCTATCTCTGTGTCTCTCTGTGTCTCTTTGGGTCTTGGGCCTCTCCCTGCCTCCGTGTCCCCTGCGCTCCCCGCCCTCTCCCTCTTCCTCTCTCCCCCCCTCGCTCTCACACTCGCGCTCTCTCTCTGAGCATCCTTGGGCCCGGGGTTGCCATGGGGACAAGGTGGGAGCCGGGGATGGCGCGCGCCTGGGCTCGCGCCGGCAGCTCAGGCGAGGAGCAGCGGCCAGAGCAGCGCCAGCAGCAGGCAGCGAGCGGGCGCGGGAGCGGGAGCGGGAGCGGGGGTAGCGTTGGCGGCGGCGGCTCCTCCTCGGCCATCCCCTCGGAGCCGTGCAGCTGACGCGCATGGCGAAGACAGCGGCGCCTACCGATGGGAGCAGCGGTAAGGCAAGGCGGCGCGGCGCAGCCGGGCGGGCGGGCGGCGGGCAGCCTCCTCCTCTCCCCAGCTCGCCTGCGCGCCCGCCCGCCTGCCCTCCCTTCTTCCCTCTCCCCTCGTAGCCCCTGCCCGCCCGCCCGCCCGCGCCGCGCTCGCCCTTCCATTTAAAAATCTTTAAAACTTTGCATATTAATATCTGCGCTTTGCATAATCTGACCCGCGCTTTATTGATTGCAAGAAGCTTAATGCAGCCGGCTCGGCCTATTGCAGAGAGCTCTCCGGGCGGGAGCCGGGCGGGCGCCGCTCGCTCCGCACCGCACTCCGGCTGCCTGCCGTCGCCGCGGCCCCGGCCCTCTCGCCTCCCTCTTGGCGCCCGGCGCCGGGGCTTTGCCCCCTGGCTGGGTATTTTTATTATTTGGGGATGGGGGGGGTCAGTTTGCTCTCGGTGGCAGTGAGGGAACCAAAGGAGAGGTGTACATGGGGGTGGGGGGGAGGGATGGGAAGAAATGGGGACGGAGAGGAGGTGAAGAGGGAGAGGAAAAGGGAGAAGGGGCAAGAAGGTTGGGGAAAGGAGAGGCGTGGAGGGGAGGCAGTATAGAGGAGAGGCAGTCGGCTGAGGACGGAGCTGAAAGGACGGAGGAGCGGAGGAGCGGGAGCCGAGGTGGAGGAGAAAGGAGGGAGGCAGGAGCGCACACTAGAGAAAGAGCCTGACGGCCGCGGAGCTGGGAAAGGAGGCAGGCAGTGGGCGCTTCGCTGCTGCTGCCCCCAGGAAAAAAAATAAAAAAAAGAAAAAAAAAAAAAAACAATGCCAATAAAAAGACGATGAAATAAAACACATCGCATCCGGGGCCACTGAACACAAAAAGGAGCGTGGACAGAGAAGAGAGGCGAGGTGGCATCTGCTCCCGGCTGGCTGCGGCGCTTCGGAGAGGCTCCCCGGGCTGGGCGGGACCCCCATTTTGACCCTGCATTTGAGGAAGGGGCGACTGTGGAGAAAATGAGGCGAGAGGGGGTCAGGGCTGGTGGCGGTACCGCCTGTTTTTTTTTTTTTTTTTCTCTTTCTCCCTCCTTTTCTGGGGGTGTGGGGGCCGGTTTAGTGTGATGATGGTGAGGATATTGGTCGGTGATGCTGCCTGAAGCTCCGAAGCAAGCAGGGTGCATAGGGGGGAGAGGTAAGGGGGCACAGGGAACGAGAAAGGGCTGGGGGGTGGGAATGCAGGGTGAGAGAAAGGAACGGGGTGCCTTGGACAGCAGAAAAGGTGAGAAATAGAAAAAAGCAGCCGGGATGGGGCACCCAGAGGCGGTGGCATCTCAGGCAGGAGGAGAGGTGGAAAACAGAGCTCCAGGGCCCCAGAGTGATGTTGGGGAGCCGCGGTGCACCCCTCAGCTCTCTGGACAAAGTCTGTAACTTGGGGAACCCCTTTGATTGCCTGCTGCCTCTTTGCTCTCTTTTCATTCCCTTTTCATGTCCTTTCTCGGCTCCTTTATTTCCATCTCCTTTACTGGCTTTTCTTTCTTCCTGTTTTCCAGTTTCTCTATCTCTTCCTCCTCTCAATAAAAGCTCTTTCTCTTTCTCCCTACCCCTTAGTTTTTCTTTTTCTATCTCCCTTATCTCTACCTCCTTCCCTTCTTTTTTCTCCTTTTTTTCCCTCCCCTCTTTCCCCCTTTCTTTTATTCTTCCTTTTCCTGCCACTCATTTCCCCTGTTGCCGGCCCTTTCTACCCCCTCCCTCAGTTTCGTTTATTCATCACTCTTGCTGCTCTGGCCTTGAACAAGGTGCCATGGAAAGGGACTCCATGCAAAGGCAGGAATCCCCAACTTCGTACAGGAGCCTAACCTCTGTTCTGAAACCCCATGAATTCCTACCCTCTCTTTTCCCCTGGGTGGGGGCTTGGGTCTTTCCCCCAGGGTTCTAGCGCCACCCCTTACTTCCTTGAGGCCTCCTGGAGAAGTCCTGCTGGATGCAAACTCGGGCTTTGGGAGGGGGAAGGGAAGATCTTAAGCAAGGGCTCATGGCTGTGGACTCAGCCCCACTGAGAAGGGTGTGGACAGAAAAGAAAATGACATGGATTCCTAGTGGGAAGTGAAAAGGGGAGGAAATTGGGGTGGAGGTCCATCTAAGAGAGTCCTTAGAGCTTTTGAGTCCAGGTAAAAGATCCTGAGAGAAATCCTTTGGCCTGATGACCACTCCCCACATTTTGCCTCCTTCCTGGGGCCTGTGGAGTTGGGGAGTAGGTCCTGGATTTAGAGAAAGACCTAATCAGCCGCTTCACTTGGTAGCTTCTAGTCTCTTGCCATCTTGTCAGGTGGATTTGTTCCTCCACCCCCCAGGATGTTAGTGGAAGGTACAGAGTCAGTGCGCAGTAGAGGGCTGGTGTGTACAGAGTCAGACCATGGCGGCAGCGTGCATGTGTACAGGGCCTGCATGCATGGCGAGATGTGTTCAGGAAGGACTATGTGTGTTGGGCCTAGAAGCCTTGGCAGAGTGAGGAGCCAAAGGTGTAGAATCATGACATGCATTTTCAGTGTGGGGTCGGATACTGGGGGTCCCCATTATGGGTGACATATGTGCATGAGGGAGTCAGTGCGTATTTGTACTGATCTCTCCCTTGTCTTGATGTTTTTGTACCATCGATATGTGTGCACTCAGGAGGCCCTCTTTGGGTCTGTGCGTGGAAGCCATCCACGCGTGTGCAGATGCATGTGCTGAGTGTGGCTTCAGCAGTGGACACGTGACACTTTGTATGTGCAGCATGTTTGGAGTAGAGGCTCTCTGTGTGGGTACCAGGTCTGAACGTAGTGTGCACATTAAAGAAAGTCACATATGTGAAAATATCATTTCTGCATGGAGATATTGTTATTGCTTGGGGTCTCTGCGTGTCCTGGGTAAGAGGGAGGGTGGGTTTGTGAAGCAGGGCCTGGGTGGAGTGATGAGACGTGTGTGAGTGCACAGAGGTCGCGGGTGTATGACTGAGTTTGACAGCATGCTTGTACAGCAACCTTGAAGCTGGGTTCAAGAAAACAAAACAAGAAAAAATCCTCTCTCCCCATAATCTACCAGCCCATGGAAACCTTCCCTGGACCTTCTGTAGTAACAAAGCTTCCCATGTCAGGGGGTGACAGGCAGGCCAGGAGTAAAGCCGATCAGGGCCACACGCGGCATCTCCAGTTGCTGATAATGCAATTCCACATCTACTTCCTGATTTATGGGTAATGCTGGACAGAGGCCCATCTTTGTCTTTGGAGAGATCCAGACCCCCATTTTCCTGAGGCTGCTGGTGAACCCTGTGGCAGATTGCAATGTCATCTTTGGGGATCGTGGTTGCCCTCACTTCCCTCTGCCATTCTTTGCAGGGAAAATGGAAGGTGTCTGTGTCAGGGCCGTGGTCGGGAAAGAACTCAGCCACATGCTGTACACACACATGCCTGTACCCATGCTGTGTGTGTATTAGAGGTTGTTAGCCTATACGTCCTAGACAGCATGCCAGCCAGGTTTTTTTTCCCAGCAAGTCCATCAGTGGCCACTCCAGCCATTCTGGTTCATATACACTCCCTTCTTGTATGCAGGGCCCATAGCCCAGAACTTCTTCCCACCAATGTGACAGCCAAGCAAGGGGCCCAACCTTAGCACCCCATTAGGTAGAGCTTTTCATAGCCCTGGTGCATAATCATAATGTGTAGAGGCATGACTTACAATGAGGGGAGCGGGGGCAGATGGCCATACCAGGGGCTACTTGGACATTGATGGGGGCAAGGGAGAAGTTTTCATCTCTGGCAAGTGCTGGTAAATTTTTAAGATATTTCAGGATAGAAATGGTTGAGAAACCCAAGTATGAAGAATTGTTAGAAGACAGAGTGGGTGTGAGGTCTCCTCAGACTGTTATCTGTTCCTCCTTATGAATATATGTCACTTGTTTTTCCCTTGGGCTCGATACCTCCTGCTCTACTAATAATAATGGCAATGATGTGCCTTACACCCACCTCACTCTTACAGCAGCCCCGATGGTGCCCCTTTCACAGATGAGGATTCTGAGGCCCACATTATTTGCTCAGCCCATCAGCAACCATGCTGACACTAGAACCAAGGTCCTCCTCATACCGACCTTTGTCTGTCCTTATTGGTCTGCCCTCTCCTATTAGCTGTCCCAGTGCCATTTCCTTTCACTGGCTCTGCCTCTTCCCCCACTTCCTCCCTGCCCCCTGAGATGTCCATCCACGGACCTGTCTCCCAGGACCTGTTGGGTGGATGGATGCCTTATGTGGCTCAGTGAGGGCTTTAAGGACCTGGGTCTCACTTTATATCCCGAAGGGAGTTCCAGCAAATGAGCATGGTCAAGCTTGTTCTGTCAGTGATGGTTTGGGGCTGGGCCTGTTCAAAGACAGGGGTTTGCATGAGCTTATGGTCTCCCCTACGCCTTCTGGTAAGCCCTGTGTCACCTTTTCAAATCTACATGATGGCCTCGGGAAGCAGATGCACTTTCTCTCACTCAATCACCACCCCATTTTCATTAGATCCCCGGGCAGGCAGCTTTCTCAGGTCTGACACATTCGGAAGGAGGCTGAAGGTGGTGGCTGCAGATACAATGTCCCTGCACTCAATAGGTATTTATTAGGTAGTGTGAATCACTTAACAAATAAAGTCCAAGAGTTCCCTGAGGTAATTGGGCAATGGTGGTATGATCACTCCTTACTTGGAAGTGATTGCTAGGCACTGACCATGGGCCGACACAGACCTGGACTCTGAAACACAACCAACCCCAGCCTTAGACAGGTGAGCACAAAGGGAGTTTCCAGGTCATTAGGAATCTGGGGAATGAGGATGGCGTGGGTTTAGACAGAGAGGTAGGTCTTTGAGGATGCTCAGGCATTGAGAAAAGTGGGGTGGTGGGAGGGCATAAATATGGCCGAGGGAAGTGGGGAGGAAGCAGCCCAGGCTGGAGATGAAGCTCTAAGAGTAGAGGTTGGCACAGTGTTGCAAATCCCTGTCTGTGGAGGCTCAGCTGCTG